TCTGGCGTTTTTGAAAGAAAAGTGATGAGAAATAAAAGGGGAAATATAAGAGTCGAGCCACAACCGTGTGAAATTTCGCCAGCGGTCAAGAAATGCTCGTTGTGATTCTCAGTAGCCCATTACCGATCAAACGTGTCGAACGTCAATCAACTAATATTAGACCGTTCAGTAATATAACAGTATGGCCACCACGTCGGAGAGAGTTGCGCAGCGACGGCCGACCGATCGGTCTATTAGTTGGTTTAGCACTACGTAGGTACTGCGTCATGATTGTCACCACGAACGCAATACATCCATAAACACAATAAAGAATGTGGTTAAGTGACGATTTTGCTAAAGCGATTGTCGAAGCAAACCCCAGTCCCAAAACATCCAGCGCTTTCATGGTGAGACTTAGCTTTTTTTTTTGAAAAAACGGCTTTGTCCGCATATAACGTCATGTTTTCTTCAAGAATGGAGAAAAAAAAATCAGCCACGAGGAAAAAAGCAGAGATATGTCAAATATGTCCATTTTGGGACACAAATCTATCATACTGCAAATCTGAAAGTATTTTTGGTTTTCTCATTTCACTCTTACTAGATATATTATTAACGCATCCCTGAGTACATTGAAATTGCATTTCGCTTGATAGCTTATTAGTAGCGTAGTGGAGGTTGTCATAGTAATCTATTTTAGTGAAATTTATTAATTTTCTAACAATTCCCAAGACCGACTGTCTATTAACCTCGGCATGCTTCAATATTATTCCTGATTTTCTTCTTTAAGCCAAACGCGAGGTGTTACATTAATCATTATTTGACAGCCGACGTTTCGGCAGTTCGCTTTCTTTAGAGCCTGGAAAGGTCAAATTGTCCACAATCCAATCAGTCAAACACCTCCATTACTCCTTTAGAAAGAATCGCCAGACCTAGATTTCAATCGCATCATGCACAAAATCAACTCTTAACATACTCACCGCTTTTTTATATGTGTTCCACTGAATGATCCAAGTGGAGATCACCGGAAGGAGATCGCATAGGCTCGTAATACACCCTACCCATCAAAACAACAGTCTTATATACTGGCTCATATCACGAGTGTTTATGAGGCTTTCCCCCCTGCGGTTTATAGTTGGATTGGTGGTGTTAATCTAAAGTGCTTCCAGAATTTTTCGCGCTGAAGTTTTCTGTTCCTACGCAAGGATGGTGACTTTGACTTCAAAATCAACTCCGTCGTGTTTCTATTCTCTATGAGTCCCTATCGGGGTGTTCCGTCTATTAAGACGCTTGTCAGCTAGGTGTTCTTCTATGCGGGCATAGAGCGGCCTACCCTTTTCGCCAATATGATTGCTACACGCTTTGCAAGAGATTAGGTAGACTGTGCCTACGCTCATGCGATCACCATTTCTGCTTTTAGGTCATATTTTACAATCTTTCGTTATACAGAAACGGTCATATAAGCGATTGCGAACTAGTTGGCGTCTTAGAGTATTCGGTGGTATTTTAATAATGGCCATCGATTGCTCTAAACCCGCTCTTTTCGAACAGCGTTTTATAGCTGTACTAATCTCACTTGAGAAGAACGGGGTGTGAACAGGACTTTCCTTTCATTCGAGTTTTCGTTCGGAGGCGCATTATTTCTTCTTAACCTAAGCCGAGGGGTTATAAGTTCGTATCCATTAGAAGTGGCTATTTCGCGAGCCAGTTTCACGGATTCTACTCTCTGCTCCTTCCCGGTACATGCATTGGCTGCTGTTCGAAACATGTTTTTTATTAACGCCTTTTTCGTTTGTGAGGGATGAGAAAGAGATAGCGAGCCGGGATATTCTTATTTCTTGGCTTTCGGTACCACTTTTTTAGGTAGCCGCTTTCGGCTAAGTTTATTTGCATGTTCAAGAAAGGGCGCCAATCATCTTTTGGTATCTCACGGGCGAATCTTATAAACTCTGACCGTTCATTCAACAATCTGAAGCAATTATCTACCTCCTCTTGAGTGGAACAAATAACCAAACAATCATCTGTATACCTACAGTAGAGTAATGGCCGGAGATCTATCACTGGTGCTTCCACTTTCGACATAAAGCAATCGCCAGGCTAGGTGCCAGTCGCTGTCCCCATTGCCAGCCCTCTGGTTTGAGCATGATATTTCCCGGACCATCTGAAGATTGAGCAGTTCAGACACTCTTTTGATAGGACCATGAACTGCTCAATCGACAAGCCATATATGTTTACAGCTCCCTGGTGTTGTATCAGAAGCTCATGTGTGGCTTGCAATGCGGAGTCATTCGACACGTTGGTATATAGAGCAGTGACGTCGAATGGCTCCATTACGTTACGCGTTGTTCGGGTTCGCGTTACGTTGACGATCCAGGAACATTTGAGTAATCTTCAGATGGGCTGGAATGTGTCCTTGCAACTGGGATTTATCAAACTTAAGAATATGCTAACCTATCCGTCGGTCTGCCTACACAGTTGATGATGTCTAACTTTGAATCTAGATGGGATCGTTAGACATTAGATCATCAGTGGATACTAAGTTATGTGTTTTTATAAGTAAGTACAAGACAGGACATGTTGGTAATTGAATTTTCAATTAAGAAATAATAGATGCTCTTGAGCCTGCCTTCTTGGAATCTTCATGAAAAAGTATTCTTACAATTGTAGAGTACTTGACTTCACTTAGTTATCTAGGTATCTGTATGGCCGCACTTCATAGATATAAGCAGTTTTATAAAAATGCTGTAATATTTTGATGGCTGAGCAGGCTTTTTTTTCGTAACTTCCATTGCTCGGCTGTGGTCGTTACCACCAACAGTCATCCACTCCTGTGAATCGGAGGAAGGTTTGTTTCAAATCAACGTCAGCTTTTCCTGTCACAAGGATTTATAGCATAACTATGGTCTCAGGTGAAATAAAGAGAAGAATGGTAGGGCAAAGTACTTTTAGCTGAGTTTCAAATGAAAATATCAAGTCCAGCTTTCATCTATGATTAGATGAGTCTGTGCAAAAGACGATCATTCCGAAACAACGTCATACAGGGATATGGACAGAAAGACCAATAAATACGGAGAAAACGCAACTTAGAATATGATCAGAGCGAAATAATACAACAACGTTTGATGTTCTATATCTAAGAGTATTACTAGAATCAATAAACTCAAAGATTTCAAATTCCTCGAGAAAACTGCTTATATTCGGATGTGGTTTATGTGAAGTGTTTCTGCAATTTGATTTACGGGGAGGAAATTAACTATGCGACATTCTATGGGCAACCCCTAAATAAAAGCCTATAGGACGAATTCAAAAACGTCTACACATTCTTTTTACATTGCTAATATTACAAAATTTTTATTCTCAGGATAGGATTGAATTTTCATATCCTTTCACGAATTCCTGAACGAGCCGAATTGTCATTAACGTACACAAGATCGCTTGTATTGATTTCCATACATAAAGCGCAAAAACAATGGCTGTTGTCAGGTTTAAACCCACAAATCTCAAATTATGATATATATCTAATTGTGCAAGTATCGTTAATATCTATACATTATCATCGTCGGACTTTCTACTTTGCTAAATATGAGATTCTAAGCTTTAAGTTCCAAAGAACACATTTTGGTTTTGTTCTTTGTCGTCGATAGTGTAATTTTAGGAGTGACGTGACTGAACAAACGGAAGATCCATCCGGCAGAGAGACATAATGGTATCGTTCAAAATTTGTTGATGTATGGATTTACTGCCTTTGCTCCGAAATGAAACCTCAAAGATGTAAACTATCATCAATTTAATATTTAGTATTGAAATCAACTAGGATCAATTGGCTTCTAAGAAGAAGATGGAGACTTTGAAATTTCGCCGAATAAAGTTGGTCAACAACTTCGTTCTAGCTTGTCAATATAAAAACACAATTCATAAAATTCTCTTCTGATCTTTTGAAAAGTTGATTTTTCGAATATTCCGAAGTAGGCATGGTTTGTCAAGTGTTCGGGTTCTCAACTGCACAATTGTCGACGAGTCACTTTTATTGAGAACATTACAGTAGCCTTTTGTTACCCTTGATAGAACGTTATTAGTTCATGCATTAGTTGAAAAGACGTTTAGCATTTATGAAGACTAACTGGAGATTAGAGTTCGCCTACTGAGAATCACCAAGACTGATATGCTGCAGTATGTGTTCACATATTCTGGTCGTTCAGCTGCTTGTCATCGTCACAAATCGATGGAGAAGCTGCATGACAGCTAAGAGATGGCAGAAGTGTAACGGCCATGACAGAAAATCAAACCAGTCAGAACCCTCTTTAGGCAGTAGAAAAGACCATGAAAACAAGTGAAGGCGAAAACAATTGAAGGCTGCAAAAGGACGTCTTCCATCGCTCGTCTTTGAGTCTCACCGTCAGCTGACAAAGCTCGGCGTGCGTTTATTCTCAATCACCTGACAAGTTAAAATGAATTGAAAAAACAAACCCGTCTATGTTTTCTGATGAATGTGCAGTTGATTAACCAGATAGAGAATTGGGGAGAATATCTTAAACACATATGTACCACGACATCAATACCTATATCTGTCATGGACTCACTCCCACATTATCATTCTGGTCACCTTTTCTCATGCGGAAGAATTTAAATAAAATAGTACTGGGAACTTTTAAGAAAAAATTATTGGACCTGTCTTAGCTACTCGGTGGCTGTCACTAAGCAGCCGTTAAGAGGATCTCTGTAGGAAGCACAGATCGGCTGCAATCTCCCCGGAAAGTGTATGAGATGAAAACCATTGAGGATATAAACATTGAAGGAAGAAAATATTATTGAAAGCAAACATTCTCGAATTACAGTGAGAAAATTACATCTACTTGACTTAAGGATGAGATTAAATAGAGAGTTTTTGTGGATTACATATATCCAGTAGCTGCAAGCTCAACTGGGTTTAATGTCAATGTGTGCTTATCAGACCAAATCGCTGAGGGTTGGCTTCTGACAAAGTCGATGCTTTGTATCACAAAAAGAGTGAAAACAGAACAGAAGCGCTATTAGTGCATTGGTTCATACGCCCCCTTTGAAAGGGTGAAACGTGGGTTCAACCCTCACATGGTGTCGCATATTTTGCATATCTTATCTTTTAGCATTATAGGATATATAGTTATAATATCATTCCACTGCTTTATTAGCGATTGATTGAAGAATTCCTGTGCAACACACCATGGATACTACGAAACCATTACAGAGTTTGTTCATAATTGAGACGCAGTAAAACTGCAAAGTCTAACAGCTAAAACAGTGCGGTGTTTTGAGGATTTCATTCCTGAACCACCTTTGAAAAATCATCTTATAGAAGAAGGACAACGAATATGATTCAGATTATAAAGGACACAAGTCTCAATGATGATAATCATATAGATGCTGCAAAGAGTGCGAGAAACCTAGTAAGAGGAGGTTATCGGATGCAGATAAAAGGATTGGAGAGGTCGATATCGAAAGAAGTAATTGACAAAAAGGTAGGAACTATCAAACAGACATAGCAAAAGAGTAAAGTCTAGAAGAAACCATTAGCGATGCTTGGAAATCGACTAGACGAAGAAAAACTATCGGTTAAGCCAATGAACAAGTCATGAGGGGAACACAATCGAGATAAACGACTCAGCTGAACGCGGAACTCAAGATTTGCTTGCTGATTGCTGCTTGGTTTTCTTCACTAGGCCGCGATAAACACCAATCATTACGTAAAGACTTTTCTTGATCAATGTAACAATTTCGTAACTCAAAGATTCGTAAGCAGCATTGCCGTGTCGATGTTATTGAGAAAACGAACAGTTCAAAACTGATATCTAATCAAACAACACGCCCTGTCGAAATTCACTTCATTCCAGGTTCTAGAACAGATGTTGTAAGATGTAGGATGCATACAATTATGAGTATGACAACCTCCAGTCATGAGCTGGGATAGAATTGACGAGACTTTATGCTGAATTGTATGCGAACATTTATGATGATATCACCTAGTGTGGCTGGCTGGTTTGACAATGAAGAAAGTTAGTTAAGATTCAGAGTTCTCTCCTTTCTCCTCAAATAAGGCAAACTACTTCTAGATTACAGCACCATTTGATTAACGTTTTCATAGGAATTATAGCGACATTTTCATCATTCATTCCGTCTTTATTAGTCCTATTTCTGTGCATCAGCGACAACCTACGTCAATATCAATGCCATTTCATGATTGTTAATTTTACAAATTTTGAACTTTATACTGTCTAAGAACCAAGTCGGTGACGCTGTTTGGACTTTAATATGAGAATGTATTATCTCAGTAAAGCAATCACCCGAACTTTCTCCTGCTAGCCGAGTGTAGTACTGCTTCTGGATGGGCTTCCCATATTGCAAGTTCGCTGAGGACCTCTGCTGCTGTATATTTACTTCTAGTCATTGGAAATTGACATTTGTCAGACGTATTGCCGAAGCGTACACCATAAAATCAAGCTAAGCAAACGTATTTTTCCAGCCATGTTCTCGGCTATTGTTAGAGCTTTTTATTACGGAGACGAGTACTCTACAACATGAAAGGGTCGTAGAAATTGATGACTGAAATTGATTCGCAAGCGGCGAGGATTTCTTGACGTCGTCAAGACTGTTAGAAGAAGAAAGGGAAATAAACATCAATTAAGCTTCGTGGAGAAATGATCTCAACAGAAATGACATGGGTTGATTGTACACATTTTTCACGCTTTGCTGCGAAAAAAAATTTTTGTTCTCTTATTGGCTTAATTCCTTCTGCCATAAAGTTCGCGGTGTCAAATGATCAGTTTTGGCTGAGAGATTGATGCTGAACAAGATATCTGCACAGACTTATTGAAACTATACAAATATGTAATTTCAGTGACATGTTGTAAAAAGCCATAACGTCATTTTGTAATCTGAGATTTGATATTGGAGATGATGACAAACACCGTGATAATATGAAATACTTGAGCCTGTCAACTACGCACTGTTGATTCATTTTTCTAGGCTTCAAAAAAAAAACCAGGAAAAATAGTTTTTTCGCTTCACTTTACAATAGTTGTTTGTTTCACTTTACCACTAATTGTCATCTCGGTAAAACAGCTATATGATGGGGTACATAGCAAATTAAGCATAGAAAATTTCTAGCATATAAGTGAGCTACTCTCGATTCAGTGTTCGATTTCCATCATAGAATAAACTGGTTCACGTTTCAAAGACATACGCAGAGATTCAGAGCGATATGACTAGTCTGGTACAAAGCAATATTCTCACGACACAATAATACTGCAAATTCTTTATTTTATTATTATTACTATAATACTGCGCAACAAATTGCAAATTTCCCGAAAGTTCAGGCTTGAGAGAAATTCAACTTTTTTGCTTTTTCTAAAGTAAACCCCAAATGTTATATATAAGCTATAACTTCAGCGATAATCATCTTTGATCCACTCGACTTTCATAAGAAAAGAAGTGATCGCTTCAGAAGTTCAACAATTAGCCACTTGAATACAACAATGTTAATACTCATGTGTAGCAACAAGGGGAGCATCGTCATGAATTTTATAATGATACCTTCCAATCGACTATGTGTGAGATCTCGCTCAAAAATTCAGTGTAATTTGACAGAATGTTTTAGGCCGTTCAAAGGTTCGGTATGGCGTCTCTAGTGGCACACGCATGTTCGAAGTATTGGCGCACGCCTCATCAGTACCAAATGCCCTACGGCTCACTCCTACTAGTAGAAGCGACGCGCCAAAATGTATCACTCTACACGAAGTAAAAGTATTACTTATTGTTAAAGTCTAGTGTAACTGGAGGTCGACGGCTTACATTCTCAACAGCAATATCAAGTGATCTTTTCACTTGACATGGAGTAATTTATTTTCGGCGTCGCTTCTTCTAGTAGGAGTGAGCCGTAGAGCATCTACTACTGATGAGGCGTGCGAGAATACGCCGATACATACGATTACCACTAGAGATTTCATGCTAAATATCTGAACGGCTTGAAATATTCTATCAGACTATATTGAATTTTTAAGCGAAGCTTGAAACGTAGTCGATTGGAAGGTATTATCAAATGTTTCTGTAACAGCCGTAAGCCATCGACTTCCAATCTTAAAATCTCTAGTTCTTGGATCAGTACGCCCATTACATTCTCATAAGTCCAAAAACACAGGTAAAATGCCTGGATATAAAATATGAATTAAAGGCATCAACTAGGATCACCTAGGATCACGTTTTTACCAAGTCACGCAAAATTCAATGAAACGGTAGCTCGTCCATGCTTCACACCAAATCTGCTCATTGCGGTTAAGCTTGCTCAACGAAAATGAAGTATCTCACTTTCTCTATTTGGTTTTATGTGTTCTACTTTCATTACTATATGTAAGAAGTTAACTCAGTTTATGCAGTATCTACACAATAACTTCTTTACCAGATTAGGCGAAATTGATCGATCAAAGATAAGTCCCCAGTCGTTTCAAGAATGTCTTAAGCACGATAAGGACATGGAATGACTGTGAAGTGAAATAAGACGAATAAAGTATCCTAGAATTTGAATAACTATGTATTTTCTGGATTGGTCGAGCAAGAAATTCAATGCGTTGTTAATGAGTAAACATACCGGATCAAGGTGGTTGTCAATTCACAATCAAAGTGAACAAGAAAGAGAAAAACGAAAGATATCTCGTTATAAAAATCATCAAAAGGCATCGCGTTCAAGCTGACTTACATCGAAAGAAAAGAATGAAAGAAAGAGAGCTCGACAACAATTCATTGACCCAAGGGTTTATGAAACAATCTGGGCACTAAAAAACATCAAGACAAGAAAAAAGTATAGAACTTTTTGAAATCTTTAAAACCTTTGAATTCAGCAAGAAAAAATGCGAAAAGCTGTATGATATAAGAAGTCGAACGATGGCATTGCTTTGATGTGAAATAGAATCCGTCTCTATTGATATAGTCGATGATGTCTGTGTGTGGATGGAATGGCGCCTAATGGACGACATCCATCCAAATAAGGAAACTAGCTGATGTGACCGCTGATTTCAGTGAATGAGTCCGACTCTCAAGCTTCTTGAGTCTTTCGGGTCATTAAGAGTCATGAGGCCTCTGCGCATTTCAGCACATATTTTGGCTCCCGTTAGTTAGAATCGAAATCTCTATTAAATTATTATTACTCCAAAATTCTATAAATAAGAGCAGAGGTCGGTGTCGGAATATAGGCGCACGCATACTTTTTCTCGTGAATTCGTTATATTTGTTTTTTCACTTGATATCACTTTCGTTAGGTATTTATTTCTTTAGGAGTCATGAAACGCTGCAAGTCATACATTACGGTTTTCAAGCTTTTTTTGCAATTATTAAATCACCCTTATCTATGGAAATTTTGAGGTAGATATATTCCTCAAGACTGACAGTCTATTAACCTTGGCATTGATTGTATACTACGATATTTCTCCTTGATAAGTAGATCCGAGGTCGGTAATAACAGCATTGCAAGTATTACAACACAATAATCGTCTCTGCGGTCAAACTGACATAGTCAAACAATTACGAGACCAAAACAGATAGAAGTTGTTACTTGAGCATTGATTCATGGTGATCAGCTTGTTTTGTGTATACTCACCGTTCAGTTGTTTTATCCATCTGTCCATGGCCCATCAGATATTATGTAGGCCACCCGCACAGAGTCGTGTGGATGAGGTCGCTTACACGATCGAATGTAATCCTTCGACGTTACCGTCTACTATACAAACGCTTCGAATGACTCCACAAAGCAAGCCATCCGCGAGCTCCTTATGCAACATGAAGGAGCAATAAATATGTCTGGTTTTCGATTCAGAGGTTCATGAGCCTTTTCAAGGAGTGCCTGAAGTGCTTAATCCCTAGGTGGTCCAGAAAATACTACGCACAAATGAGAGGACTGACAATAGGACAACGACTGGCACCATGCTTTGCCATTACATTTGTGTCTAAAGTTTAAGCCTCGCACTCATCGTCGGGTTACTACTCTACTATAAGTACATCGGAGACTGCTTTGTGCTTTGCTCAATACACAAGAAGATGTACAAGTGCCTTGAACTGCTGATAGCGCAGTCAG